GAGGTTCGCCCAGGACGAAATTTGGTTCGTCGGGACGAAATTTGTCCAGAGAGCAAGTCGTTTAGAAACGATTAGACTTCGTCTGGACGAGATTTATCCAGAGGGCAAATCGTCCCAGGACGAATAGGATTCGTCCGGGACGATCCTATTTGATAAGCATCGGATTTGAGATATTTTTTAAGAGAGAGAAAAAGCAGGAGAGAGAAAGAGAAGGAAAAAGAGAGGAAAGGCTGAATCCTTTCAGTATAGACGCCTGAGATGTCACAAGTGGAGTCTTAGGTTTCGTTTGTAACAGCTTTTTTAGTGCTTTCTAAAACAATTTTTTAATATTAAAATTGTTTGGATGTATCAAAAAAGTTGCGGTCAAAAGCTGTCCCAAATGAAGCTTTATATCATTTATTATAAAATCGACTATTGCAATAGGGTTAGATCCCGTGAACCTTCTCTTTTTTTTATTTTACCACGTAAAAAATTCAGATGTCTCATACTACTTTTATTTGTGCGTATTAAATCTTTGTATAAAATTAAAATATTAAACATATTGTCTATGCCATTACAAACTTTCAAAAGTGTAGCACTTATATAAAATTATGTGTAATTTCTTAGATTAGTTCACATATTAACAAATTTATGGAAAAAAAAAAACAGATGTATGATCTTTATTAAATGAAAACTATCTATTAATAAATTAAATAGGAAGAGGTAGCACAAATATATTAATTCAATCTCAACCATACAATTCAAATTGAAAGGTGTCGTGCCTCACGATCTAATTCAGAAAGAATTGTATCTTTTATCTTTTATATTTACAACCATTTAATTAGAACTTACAAATTTCATAAAAACATTTAAAAAAATAAAAGAAACAACATTTCATTTATATTTATTGAAAATGTACAACCCAGTACAAGCCCAAAATGCGACATATACAATAGCCATGGAATACAATAAACAAGCTCATCTCAATGAACACAGAACTACAAAATAGAAAGACTGCTAAAGATCAGAACATAGCTCATCCTCAAGCTTCCTTATTTTTTCCTGAAAATATGTAGCATTATAGTCCAACAAGTTTTCAATATCTATAATTTAAGTTAATACATATTATATACTTAATCATATTATTAGCATATAAAATAACATAGTGGCATTTCAATTTCACATTAGTCCGTCAGATATAAATTTAGCATTCAAAATTAGTGGTCATCAGCAATGAATTAGGTTTTAGTTGGGATCACTTTCTTAATGCTTCTTAAAACAACTTTTTAGTGCAAAAATGTTAATTTTTATACAGAAAAGCTGCTTTAATAAGCATTAATTAGAAATTCATCCCAAATGAAGCCTTAGATTTTATTTAGAACAATTTTTTATTGTTTCTTAAAACAATTTTTTAATACAAAAATTTTAATTTTTATAATAGAAAACTGCTTTAAAAAACACTAAGTAATTCATCCCAAACAAAGCCTTGGGACGGCTCTCTTTCTAATTTTTAAAACAGTTTTCTAATATAAATTTTTTAATTTTTATACTAAAAAGCTACTTTAAGAAGCATAAAGAAAGCCGTTTGCGAGGAAACCCTAGTCTTATAATAAGCATTGAGGATCAGCAATAAGTCACTTTGATGACCAAGACTAATATTTTAAAATTATGAGAATATTGGAACATACTTTCACCAAGACTTTTTCTAAGATAATGAAATATAAAGCTATTTTTAATTTTTTATGCATAATTGCAAGAAGTTATTATTTTATATTCAAAATTATTATGAATGTTTTTATTTTATTTTTTACTATCTTATATCAAAATAAAAAAATTCTTTAGCTCATTTGGAGTCAGATAAGATCAGTTTTGATATTGATGAATTCGTCTTGCTGAGATGTTCAACTCAGTCATAAGTTCATTAAAACTGGAGTTCGAAAGCCGAGAATTCATTTCTAAAAAAACTTTAATTTAAATTTCTTGCTAAAATAAAGAGTAAGGAACTTCGAAAAATTCAGACTTTGTTGAGATATCTTTTTTACTGCTTTTAAAACAATTTTCTAGTACAAAAATTTAAATTTTTATATTAAAAAATTATTTTAAGAAACAGTAAAAAAATCGTTCCAAACCTCCTTTTAAGCACTAATAATCATATTGTTCTTTGTTAGCCTAAAGTGTTTATATTTGTTTTCAAAACTTACCAAAAAAGATAATTTAACGGTGATAGTTAATAATTTGAATCCTCTCCGACAAATGCTGAATAATTAAATTTTTTTAAAGTATGCTCCTTTTACTAATTTTAATCATTAACTTGCTTCTTTATAAAATTTGGCCCTTACTTTAAACGTGCGCAGCCTTACACGACTCTTCCCAGTTCCCACTTTTAAGGTGTAGATATTTTGGGAATAGGTGTAGATATTTAAAAGAAAAAAAAATTGAAAGTAAAAAAATTCATATGATTTTAATATAATTTTGAATTAAAAATTTTAAAATTAATTTTAAGAATCTTGATATGTCATCATGAAATTAGTTTGATCGGGCACGAATCTAGAGGCAAAAGTTAGTTGGAAATTTCAAAAATTAATTTTGGGAACATCCGAACTCCGATTTCAGCGAACTTACAGTCAAACTAAGCGTCTCGGAAATACGAACCCAATGACACCAAATTCAACTCAATCCGAGTCCAAATGAGTCCGAATCAAGGACCCGATGCGCTGTTGGAAGATTCAAACCGCAATTTGAGTTACCAAACGGCCTCCGATTTTAACGAGCTTATACTCCAATCGAGCGGCTCGACGAGACGAATCCAACAAGCCCAAGATCATCGAATTAAAACATCATTAAGGCCTCCAAATGTTCAACGAATGGTGCACGATCTAAGGGTTCAATATCGGCCGTCCATTCAAAGCACTACCTATTCGCCCATGATCTCACACCAATTTACAAGCTATGCCACTGCAGAAAAACTATAAATAGATCTCTCATTCTACACAAAGGGGACTCAGATGAAGAGAGAGAAAAAGAAGGGAAGAAGAGGAGAAATGGGAAAAGGAGAATCCTCTCCTCCTCGACCACCGCCAGAGCTCTTCCTGCCGCTTGAATACGCCGGAACTCTACCGGATATTCGGGAGAACGCCATAATTCTGCCTAACTTTCATGGGATGCGGAAATTCTTCCCAATTTACAGCAATGTTCCCTCCTAACGCCGAAACTCCTCCCAAGTGAAGCCGAATTTCTTCTCTGCCACCAACAGACGTCGGACTTCTACCCGATGTCGTACCTTCACTCTTCGCCAAGTTTCTACCCGACGCCGGACTTCTACCGGTTATCGAACTTCGCTGGACGTCTATGCGAAGATGGATTTCTCTCAATTGTTGGACTTCTACCTGACGCTGTCTTTCTGATCTTCGTCGTCAGACTACAGTCTTCTAACCTCCGTCGCCCGCCGACTACGATTCTCCTGACTCACGTCGCCCGCCGACTATAGTCTTTCCGACCTCTGTCGCCCGCCGACTACGGTCCTCCTGACTTACGTCGCCCGTCGACTACAATCTTTTCGACCTCCGTCGACAGCCGACTACGGTCCTTCTGACTTACGTCGCCCACCGACTACAAGCCCTCCGACCTCCGTCGCCCGCCGACTATGGTCCTCCCGACCAAATGAACATGTCAATAGTGATTCTTTGTATTCATATCATGTAATGTACTCTATAAAATGTACATCAAGCTAAGGCCTTCTCCCAAGGAAGAGCCTCATTTGTAATCGACTGCAATACTAGTGAATTCATTCAAACTGGGCTAGGCCCCGTGGGTTTTCCCCCTTTTCAGGGGTTTTCCACGTAAAAATCTTGGTGTCTCATAAATGCTAGACCCCACTCTCTTATCTGATTACGTGCCAGATTTTCGTACAATGCTAAGACGATAAACTTTATATTTCTCTACCACCGCGAATACTCTCGGACGCAACAAATCTTAATTTTAGTTTCAGTAAATTTATAATCAAATGAATTTATCAACACTGAAAGTGATCTCATTGGACTCCAAATAAGCATAAAACAAGCACGTATCATAATTTTATGTGGTTATAGTAGGGGTGTAAAATTTTTACACGCCCCGAACCCGACCCGAAAAAATCTGGGTTAGGGTCAACCCTGACCCGAAACTGGTCGGGTTCGGGTTCAACAAATCAACCAGTTTAAAAAAAAAATTGGGTTGATCCAGCAACCCGAAATTGATCCTAAAATGACCCGAAATTGACACGAAAACTCCTATTTGACTCGAAAACTCGAGATTGACCCATTTTTTAACCCGATTTAGACCCGAAAATCGAATATTGACCCAAAAACTTACAATTTTAGGTCAACTTCGGGTCATTCGTGTCGAGTCGGGTTGACCTGGGGCCGAATCGGGTCGGGTTCGGGTTGACCCGAATAGTGTTGGGTCAGTTCCGGATTCGACCCGTTGACCCAAATTGACACCCCTAGGTTATAACTAAATTGAGTGTCTTAGGCTTCGTTTGTGATGACTTTTTTATTATTTCTTAAAGCAGTTTTTTAGTACAAAATTTATATTTTTGTGCTATAAAGCTATTTTAAAAAGCTATAAAAAAGCTGTCTCAAACATAGCCTCAATGAGGGGAATCCATCAAGTCTAACATCACTCAATTATAATGTCATTAAGATACTTAGATATTAATTGAACAAAAATTATAGCTAACTGTTAAACAAATTAAAACTAATCTCATATTTTAAATATCAATAAATAAAAAAATTTACTTATTAATTTTAAAATCTACCATACAATTAAACCTTAATTTTAATTTGAGACTCTTATTTTCTGCCCTTATTCTTCCATTAGAAAGATAAAGATTTTATCCATTTTTTAAATAGTTGAGAAAATAAAATTATTACTTTTTATATATAATTAATATTAATTTTTTCTTATAATGTTTTTAATTTTTTCCTAAAACATTTTTTTATAAGTCTTATAATTTGTATTTAGCTTCAGAGTATATTGCCAAATCAAATCTTATCAAGAAAAAAAACTAAAATTTCCGAAGAAGCCCAATAGGCCACCGGAAAAAGAAAGAATGGAGGAGACTCTACTGTTCTTCTGTTTCAAAGAATTGATCTTTTCCTTTATTCCAAGCTTAGTTGATGACAAAAGATATTCCTTGACTCTGGTAGACCAGTAAAAGTGATTGGATGGAAGACCTCGTATTCTTTCTTCCTTATTTTTTCACATTGAGTTGAGAGTTCACAGAAGAGGCATTCTTAAGCTTAGGATGCAGCCTGTTCATGGATTAATTTAGCGCCGGATTGGGGCTTCATATTTTCTTGGGTATTTTCTCTCTTTAACGCAGCTCGGTAACTTGGATTTCACTTTTTTCAGTGACAAGATTCGATTTTTCCTATTTTTTTTAGAATTTTCTTTGTGCCGACTGAAAGAAAGTTGCGGGTTTTGTAAATATTGCTGTTACTGAATTTTCGCCTCCCCCTTTTTTGTCTTCATTAATGTTTTGATTTTGATTTCTTCCTATCCTCTTATTTTTTCTTGTTTTTTTGGTGGTCAGAAGCTTATTTTGACATCCTTTTTGTTTTTTTTTTTTTGCTCTTGGATATTGGATTGTGATTTTCTTCATTCTAGTGGGATCTTGGATCTATTTTTCTTTGCTTTCTCTTTCTAGGGAACTCTGAAACTGAGAAGTAATAAATGGATATTTTAATGAATTTACGCACAGGTTTTAGTTATAATTACTTTGTTTTAACAAATATTTATTGTTAAAGTGTTTATTAATGCTCTCTCAAATTCATAATTAAATTCAGAACTTATTCAACTGTAACTGGAAGAAGCTCTTGAATCCTTAGTTCTTCCCAAAGCTGAGATCTTGGTGAACACTTGGTTATAGTGGATTTGAGCCATGGATTTAGCTCCTTTGTTGGCTGTTTGTTTCTTGTTAGTTCTGAGTGGAGCAGAGTCAGGGGGGGAGAATGGAACAGGCGCTCTTTCAAGACCAAGAGTTGTAAATATTGGAGCTCTCTTTACATTCAATTCTATTATTGGGAAAGCAGTTGGACCTGCGATTCAGCTCGCGGTGGAGGATGTAAATGCAAATTCAAGCATTCTTTCTGGCACAAGATTGCATGTTATCACACAAGACACAAATTGCAGTGCGTTTCTTGGAACCATAGAAGGTAAGAAAAATAAATTTTGGGTTGATAATATACTGTCACAATTTGGTGAAAAGTACTTATTCAAGTTTCCTACTTTTTTTTCTTTCCTTAATCATTTTATTTTTGAAGAGTCTAACATGTAACATTGATTATATTAGGAAGGATAAATTGAGGAACGGTTTTATTTGAGGGATTTGGGAGTAGTATTTACTAAAAATAAGATGATGAAAAAGAGACTTAGGTGGTTTGCACATTTAAAATGAGTGGTAAAAAAATGCACCTATAGACATGTAGATGAACTTAGGGATGAGGAATTTGGAAAGAAAATTAGTTGTTCGAAAAGATTTATAGCGAGTAAATTGAACACCTAATGCAACAATCAACAAAATTGAATATACAATGAGAATTCATAATGTTGATTCCAAATAGATGAGATTAGGTTAATGATAGATTAGGATTGAGGCTTGCTACTTATCTTCTTTGCTTTTCATTTCCATCTGTTAAATTATAAAATTAATTTCTCTACAGTCTATAGAAGTTTGCAATTTCAATCTACAAAATTTAAGACTTTTTTTCTTGTTCTACAATTTTCCAAATATCTTTTATAACTTTCAAAGGATTACAAGCCTTAAATAACTTGTACACTAAATCTTTCTTGCAGCCTTGAAGTTGATGGTGAATAATGTAGTTGCTATAATTGGTCCACAATCCTCTGGGATAGCTCATGTCATCTCTCATATCGCTAATGAACTCCATGTTCCTCTTCTTTCATTTGCCGCAACAGACCCGAACCTTGATTCCCTGCAGTATCCATACTTCGTTCGCACCACACAAAGTGACTATTTTCAGATGAATGCCATTGCTGATATAATTGAGCATTATGGATGGAGGGAGGTCATTGCCATTTTTGTAGATGATGATTATGGAAGAGGTGGGATCTCAGCACTGGGTGATGTGCTTGCTGCAAAACTTGCTAAGATCTCCTATAAAGCTGCCTTGCCTCCCAATGCTGATATAAATGAGATAAATGATCAGCTGGTCAAAGTGAACTTAATGGAATCCCGGATTTTTGTAGTTCATGTAAATCCTGATTCAGGCCTATCAGTTTTTTCAATTGCAAAAAAGCTTGGGATGCTTAATGCTGGATATGTGTGGATAGCTACAGATTGGCTCTCTTCAGTCTTGGATTCTTCTGGAAGTGCTGATCCTGAAACCATGAGTTTAATACAAGGGGCCATCGTTCTTCGTCCTCATACACCAGATTCAGATATCAAACAAAATTTTTTGTCAAGATGGAATAAATTGCTTCAGAAAGGAGATCTAAGTTCAAGCTTGAACACTTATGGGTTATATGCATATGACACTGTCTGGCTAGTTGCCTATGCTATTGACCAGTTTCTTAATGAAGGGGGTTCTGTATCTTTTTCAAATGATCCAAGATTGAGTGATGCAAATGGAAGCTCATTGCATTTATCTGCACTTCAATCCTTTGATGGAGGAAACAATCTGCTAAGAAAACTGAATCTCGCAAACTTCATCGGTCTGAGAGGTCGAATTCAAATCAATTCCGATGGGAATATGATCCATCCCGCTTATGATATTCTTAATGTCGCTGGGACAGGATTGCGGCGGATAGGTTTTTGGTCGAATTATTCTAGCTTATCTGTTATTGCTCCTGAAGCTTCTTATGAAAAGCCTCCAAATATTTCAAACAATGGCCGCCAGCTATATGGTGTCATTTGGCCTGGAGAAATCACAACAAAGCCCCGTGGATGGGTCTTTCCTTACAATGGAAAGAATCTAAGAGTTGGAGTTCCTTATCGAGAAAGTTTTAAGGAATTTGTAACGAAAGACAATAGCCATGATGGCGTTGGGGGTTATACTATTGATGTGTTTAAAGCTGCAATCAACTTATTACCTTATCCAGTTCCCTTGCAATTCATTCTTTTTGGAGATGGATCTGAAAATCCCAGCTATAATGAACTTGTGCAAAAGGTTGCAGATAATGTATGTATTTCTTTCAACCAAGCTATCCACATTTGCATGTTCTGTGGCTTACAATATCTTCTTATTTATTCTCCCAAATGCAACATACTTTTATCTTTTTTTGTTATATGTGCTTCATCTATGGTTTGAGTGGTCCGTTTGAGCAGATTTTGTTGTGGGAAAAGGAGAATTTTTTAAAGCTGTTATGATATTATAGATTTTCTTCCTTCAGAAAAATCAAAGATCAACTTTCTACCAACTAATGCTAGAAAATCTGAATGTAAAAAATCTTGGAATTTTTACTTGCACAATCTTATAAGAAAGTCTTAAAATACCATTTGGTAGGATTTATCTTAAATCTTTTATAATCCAAACTTAAGTTGCGTTACAAACAACTTAGGCTTCATTTGGGATGGCTTTCTTTTGCTTCTTGTACTAAAATACTGTTTTAAGAAGCAGTAAGAAAGCCGTCCCAAACGAAGCCTTTAGTTGCATTGCACGAATTTGATTTTGTGACTTATGATATACTTTTTGTCTAGTACTTTGATGCAGCTGTTGGGGACATTACAATTGTAACAAACAGAACAAGGATTGTAGATTTTACACAGCCGTACGCTGAATCAGGACTTGTCATAGTTGCTCTTGTCAAAGAGAGAAACTCACCTCCTTGGGCTTTTCTTAGACCATTCAGCTTAAAAATGTGGTGTGTCACGGGCTCTTTCTTCCTGTTGGTTGGTGTAGTTGTTTGGATTCTTGAGCATCGACTAAACACCGATTTCCGTGGATCTCCAAGAGCTCAACTTGTTACAATATGCTGGTTAGTATCACTTACAAAATGAAGTTTCAGTGCTGCGATATGTATCATGTAATGAATTGCTTGGAGTGGAAGTTCAGTTAACAAATGATGAGCTCAAAATCCTGAGGCTTTTGCTTGCTTTCTGGATAATGAAAGAGCCTGTCAAGGGAGAAATTATTCTGTTCGGACACCGGATGTGGCTCTGTGTCCGGAGGTGAATCGGAGCGCGGCATATCACCCGGTACTCAACAGGTACACAACCACGATATACAGTAAGGAGGTGACGTGGTGTGTCCTGATTTGCCTCGGACGGTGTCCGGTGTCTGCACAGAATAATTAATGCTGTCAAGGATTGAAGCTATGAAATTTTACCCATGTTATTTTAGAGATATTTTCATTACAGTGGGTTAAGATATGATCTCCTGCACATAATCACCAATTTATCATGGAATTAAGATCAGTTAATTCTGAATAACTATTTTATTTTGGAAAAAAATATGCTGGCAATATCTGTGTGAATGTTAAAGTGCTACTCTATGTACTGCTTTTATGTATGCTAATGTTGGGCCACTTATAAAAAAATGTTTTGATAAAAATTGTCAAAGTAGTGGGGTCTTACGGAGAATGTCCCAAATAGACTTAGACTTCGTTTGTGACGGTTTTTTTGTTGCTTCTTAAAGCAACTTTCTAGTACAAAAAATTTAATTTTTGTACTAAAAAACTATTTTAAGAAGCAATAAAAAGACCGTCCCAAATAAAACCTTAATATGCAGACCACCTTCATTTTTTTCAATACAAAGGAGGAATTGTTGTTGGGATTTCTTTTGAAGAGAGAGAAAAGAAATGCAGTTAAGTGTGAGGCTGTGAATTTCGTTTGTTAAGTTTTATCATCATCATCATAGTGAAACCTATCATGACATTAACAAAAAGTAGCCATGAATTATGCATAGTTAACCAGCTAAAGATAGAAGAGACACATGAGATCAATAATTAAGTCAATATTTCAGTATCTTTTTTCTTAAAGGATTGGAACTCATTCTATATTATAATGAAGAATTTCCACCAGTGCAAAAGAGGAAGACGCAGAGGAAAATAAACTTATGGTAAATTAATTGAACTTATGGTATTCATATGGAGCAATGAAATCATTAATTTGGTTTGAATTTTTCCTAGTTAAACCACAAGTAATATTTTGTATAGAAGTCTTCAAAACTACCACTGATTCCTAAACTCTTCTGTAGAATATATTTTCCTATTAAACAAGGCAATGATGATTTTGCATACAAACTTTTGTTCTTCATAATTTATATTTTCTTGCGCAGCAAATGATGCTCTTGTTGTAATGTTGCAGGTTTAGCTTCTCAACAATGTTTTTTGCTCACAGTAAGTAAACATCCTTATAGTCTTTCATCGTTCCCATCTGAATTCTTCTGAGATATTTTTATGCTATACCAGGAGAAAATACCGTGAGTGCTCTTGGAAGATTTGTGCTGATTATCTGGCTATTTGTAGTGTTGATTATCAATTCAAGTTACACTGCCAGTCTCACATCAATCCTTACAGTTCAACAACTTTCATCAAGAGTTGAAGGGCTTGATAAATTAATATCAAGCACTGATCCTATTGGCTTCCAAGTTGGATCTTTTGCCAAAAGCTATCTTATGCAGGAGCTTGGTGTAGCTGAGTCTAGGTTGATATCCCTGAAACAACCAGAAGATTTCGCAAGATTTCTTGATTTGGGACCAAATAAAGGTGGTGTTGCTGCCATTGTCGATGAGCTCCCTTATGTTGAGCTGTTCTTGTCAAGCTATTGCAAGTACAAGACCATTGGTCAAGAGTTCACAAAAAATGGATGGGGATTTGTATGCTCTCTCTTCTCTCTCTCTCTAGAAATCGACAAATTATTCTGTGCGGAGTCCGGACGTTATCCAAAGACCAATAAAAATATGCCACGTCACCCCAAAGTGTACCGTGCTCAGTACCGAGCGCGATACTGAGCATCGGTACCACTCGGCACCAAGCGGTACCGGACGGTTCTCCCGTGTGTCCGCATAGAATAATCTCTCTTAGGAATCTAATCTTGAAACAACCAGTAAATTTTTTTCAGACCGTCTTCCTTCTATCTACATTGCCAAATTTCTCAACATATATTTATATATTATCCAAGCAACTATATTTATTTTCTTTAGTAAATTGACCAGATTTACTACAATCATTACACTCACACTAATGCACAATCCAGTTTTACATTATTTTCTTCACAAATCTCTGATGGTTTAACAACATAAACCTTCATTAATTTCTTCTGCTTCCTGAAGACAATTGAGATTTGCATTCTCATTTCTTCTTGGCTGAGGAAAACTATATTGATTTTCTCTTAACAGGCATTTCAAAGAGACTCACCTCTTGCAGTAGACCTCTCAACTGCCATCCTTAGCTTATCAGAGAATGGTGATCTCCAAAGAATCCATGACAAGTGGCTGACACGAACCGGTTGTGACTCGCAAGATAGCAGCATCGGATCGAACCAGTTGAGCCTTCAGAGCTTCTGGGGCCTGTTCCTCATTTGTGGTGTTTCTTGTGTGATCGCCCTAAGCATCTTCTTCATGAGAATTATTTGTCAGTACAAGAAATATATATCTCCTGAAGAAACTGAGTCCAATATGTCAGAAATCACTCCTTCAGAGCCCAGCCTGAAGCGCCCAGTTCATTTGAGAAGTATTAAAGGTCTCCTGAATTTTGTTGATAGGAAGGAAGAAGAGGTGAAGAAAGCTATTAAAAGGAAATATAGTGAGAAGAGTCAACATAGTAGTCGTAGCACAGATGATCAGTTGACTTCACCAGCATAGAAGCAGAGTTTATCATGTTGTGTTTGCTGCTTCAGTGATGTATTTTATGTTGATAGAAACATATAATGCATAAGTATTAGTGTTGGGATAGAAATTTTCCCAACAGGATGGAGCACAAATTTTGATGCAATTTTTAAATCTCGAAGCACTATTAAGTTGAACTGATAATTGTTGGGTCTAACTCGTGCCTAAGTAGGTCCCTCGTGCCCATTAAGACGTCGGATCATTCGGTCACCTTTCGGATTGGAGTGCCAATATGTCATCTATGATGTTATCAAAGATGTCCTATGCCACATTCTTCAAGTTACCAAGTTCCCCCTCCTAGAAAGGTTGCCCTAATCATCTCTAAGGCCTCCTTCAACATTCTGTGCCATGAAGCATTGCAGGTCTCATCACCATCTTATAGAATATTCCCTTAAATTTGAGGGGGGCTTTTCTTTAAGACTTTTCTAACCAAGTTTTTTTATGATTGTCATCCCTAATGGAGTTTGTTAAAGGCATATTGCTAATATGATCTCCATCAACTTGCATAGTGGGTTAATAATATATTCCCCTTAGGTGGGTTGATCACACATGTATGATCCATCCACTGAATATTGCTTTGTCAACTTATTAACTAAATATCAACCTTTCTTAAAGAAATTCCAAGATGTTTACCCACCATGCAACCTTTCAAAATCAAATACCTGTAACTACTACTAGAGTGTTACCCTAACAAACAATGGCTAGATTGTCAACATATACCTTGGCAAATGAAGTTAAAAGATAGTTGGATTGGAGATTCCTACTTGAAAGTCTATGAATCAAGTGGGGTCCTATTATCTTCTTGTTGAGAAGAAGCTACAACAATATGAGAAAGGAATGTTTCCCAACAAGTTAGCAAGACAATCCTAATATAACACCACTCAAATAGTCCAATGTTACAACCTATCATGAATAAAAGCTCTTTCTTAAAACTCACCAATGATAGTTGCATCGAAATCAAATATCAATCAAAGACATTTTTAGCCATCAAACAATCAAACTCTCAAGATTCTCATGATGATATTTGCCCCCAAATCCTAAATTGTCATATTTATCAACCCGTTTATGTATGTAATGTTTCCAACTTGTGTCTCTATAAGAATATTAAAAAAAATGCAAATAATAAAGAATACAAGAAATAAATTTATTGCATGTGTTCATAGCAAATTTTTTCCTCTGCACTAGTCTAGCTAAGAGAGTTATAATGCATTGTTTCTTGTGTTCCATCTAGATCGTCCACATGACATGATAAAGTTTTAATTCTAATCTTATTCGTCTATTACCTTGGGGTAGATTATGTTTGGACAAGTCTTTAGAGGAGGTGTAACAATAGCTCAAAAAAGATCATCCACTTTGAGTCCTTTAGCTAATAATATATATAAAGGAAATCACCAACTTAGCACATACATTGCCACCCACCCCATTTTCCTTATGCATATTGAATTGTCTAAGACTTGCTCATTTTAACAAACATGCCTCAACTGCATGATTCATATAGTTCCAACTAAAATCCCTTCAAGCTTGTAAAGATTCTTCTTTTGGCATTGGCTCGCCAATTATTATCACTATTGATTCAACTATTTTGGAGAGGTCATGTGGCAACTTTCTTAAGAAGAAAAATGACATATAAGATGATATGATGTCACTCTGCAATATTTCTCATTATCTTTGTAGGATAGATGGTCTACATCACCCATGCTTACCCATGTCACTCTTAGTTCCCTAATTGTCTCTCTCTATTTGATCATTCATCAATCACTATTTACACACGATTTTATCCTATCTTGTCACATGTCACATAATCTCCACCGTATCCATACCTCGATAGAAATAACATCAAATGTTTCTTATGTGTCAAAAATGTTGATCTTACGCCTTCATGCCACCATGACACACATCTATGATGTGTTACGCTGCCTCCAAATAAAGTAACTGGCTTGGAGGCTCACCCTCTCCATCTTCTCCTTTTCTGCCCCACCTTGTGAGCCCTAATATCAATACTTTAGTTTCATCACAAATATCCCTCCAATAAGACCACTTTCTCCAATTCATTAGAGCCAAATACAAATATGACTGTAGTCCAACAAGGAGCCAATGTTGTATTAATACCATCAAACAATTCTAGCTCAAAATTATATACCAATAATAGTGCACCTCATCATCTAACTTGGTGGTCATCATGGTGTTAACCTCTATACAAAGAAACAAAAATAGCAAAAATCTGTACGTACCTCGGACTGAAATCCCGCAAATTCTGCCGCAAATCCTGCTGTTCGGCGCCGTCTGCGTCGTTTCTCCGTAAAATCTGCCGAAACCTTGCGATGTCGCCTCGATCGAACGACCGCTCGCGTCGTTAAATACCGCACCAACGCGAAGGCTTCTCTCGACTCTGCTCTCGACTCTGCTCTCCTCTCGCACGAAGCACTCTCCCCCTCTCCGATCCCAGCTGAAGCTCCGACCTCCAGCCAGCCCGTCAACCTCCTTCCGTCCATACACGCAGAGAGAGAGAGAGAGAGAGAGAGGGAGAGAGAGAGATTTCCTTCCTCATACCTGCAGCCAACCGAGCCCTCTCCCTCCGATCTCCAGCCGACTCCAAATCCCGATTCCTCCTTGCCGCAAGTGCCGACCTTCCTTCTGATCTTTGTGCCGAAACCTCCCTTGCCCTTGCTTTATTCGGTCGGAAGCCACAACAGGAGCTCGCTGGTCGTGAAGGTAGCGCCCCTTCCCCCTTCCGTGCGCTTCATTCAGCCAAATCCCGTAAATCCCTCAAATCAGAGAGGGGGAGGGGGATTTACTTATTTATATATTATATATTATTATTATTTATGTTTAATTGATAGTTAATTATAATTATGATTAATTAATTATAAGTAATTAATTATTATTAATTAATCAATTATATTTAGTCAATTAATTACAACTAATTATTTATAGTTAATTATATTTAACTATACTTAATTATGGGTAATTAGTTATTAATTATAATCAATTAATTAATTATAATCAATTATTTATTATTAATTATAAGTAATTGTAATTATTATTAATTAGCATTAATTACTAGTAATTATAATTATAAAAAAATTAATAATAAATCATACATAATTATATTAGATTTTATCACCCTGATTGCTCTTTTATCTTGTTAATTATATAAAAAAATATGATTAAAATAATAATATCTTAAAATTATTAACACCAGGAGAAAAAATTACAAGCTGTCATAAGCTCTACTTTTATGATAATTTTTTTCATATATTTATTTTTTAAGAAAATCATCACATTTCTGCTTAGATGCAACTTTTATGTTACATTTCAAGAATTTCTATAACAAAACAAAAAATTTTCTTTATAATCAAATCTGCTAGCAGTGTCGCCGGATCCAGCAGCCACAGAGATGGCCATATGGAGCTTGGATATCTCCCTTTTCATGTAGCGGTTCTTTGTGAGGAATTTTTATTGCCTCAGGTTTAACGTAGAGATACATCAGGTAGCCTATAATATATCGCCACGTGCTCTTATTTTTTACCGCGCGGCCCGACGACCAACCCAAAACGAATCCGGGATTACTATGTTCGTGTATTGACGGTATTGCTCGGTATTTGTTCGGTATTGCTGGGTACTACTCCGTATTTGCTCGGTATTGCTAAGTACTATTCGGTATTTGCTCCGTATTTTCATCAACGACTTGCAATAATTGAAAGAGCTCAGCGACAAGTTGAAAACCTGGAGTCTGCGATCATGTGAACTGGAAGCAACTTCCAAAGCAGATTTGATCGAGAGAAGACTTGAAGAGAGGGATAAAGAGATTGAGGAGATGATGTGCAGAAGCAATGAGCAGAGATCCAGCACAGTACATGTTTTCGAGTCTCTGTTGGCTACAGAGCGAGCTGCTCTTGCTGAGGCTAACAATCGAGCAGAAGCTCTATCGATTCAGCTTCAAGCTACTCAAAGCAAGCTTGATTCTCTGTAGCAGGAGCAGACTTCTGTTCGGCTCATCGAGACTGCACTCGGTAGTATTAACGAAAAAATGAGTTCTGATCCTGCATCTCCAGCAAGGAAGCAATAGCACTATTTGTCAATAAACTCAACCAAACAGCTCGACCGAACGCGGAAACTACAATCGATTTGAGAAAAACGCATGAAGAAGCAGACCGATTGGGAAAAAAGTGAAGAAAGGAAGACCTCCCGCCGATCTCCCGACACCAGCAATCGCACTATTTGCAAGAAAAGTCAATCAAACAGCTCGATCGAAGACGGAAACTGCAGTCGAATATGGGGTAAAGATCGGAAGAAGAAGCCGATTAGAACGAACGAAGGAAAGAAGGCCTTCGTTCGATCTTCTGTCACCAGCAAATACGGAGCAAATACCGAATAGTACCTAGCAAACCGAGCAAATAGGAGCAAATACCGAATAGTACCTAGCAATACCGAGCAAATAGGAGCAAATACCGAATAGTACCTAGCAATACCGAGCAAATACCGAGATATCGAGTAATACGCGAACATAGTAATCCCGGATTCGTTTCGGGTTGGGTCGTCGGGCCGCACGCTAAAAAGTAAGAGCATGTGGCGATATATTATAGACTACCTGATGTATCTCTACATCAGATAACCTGAGGCAATAAAAATTCCTTTGTGAGAAGCCCGGCCCCGCCCCGAAGGCAAGATCTTTTTAGACTTCTTCATTTTCCGTCCGGTCTGAACGTTCGTCGGTCATTTGCCAATCCTACGGCCTATTGCCCGCTCCAATCGCTGCTTCTGTCTCTTGATCCTTATCTGATTCCTGCCAGTGGCTTGGAAGCACGCTATCTTTGTCTATTGGCCAACATAGTAAGCAAGTATAATGCTCCTTTGAATGGAACAATTATTATGTCCTCCGACCGGACGTAGAGGAACGTCCGGTCGGAGGCCAAATCGTGCCAAAAAATGAAAAATACCGAGCAATACCAAACAATAACGAGGAATACCATCACGTGAAGACCCAATACCGAGTTATACCGAGCAATACCAAGTTATACAAAAGTTGTACCGAGTTTTTACAAGAAAAAACTCGGTACAACTCGGTATTGCTCGGTATAATTCGATATTGATCTTCACAGAGCGGTATTCCTCGTTATTATCAAATAATACCTAGCAATACTGAACAAATACTGAATTTTTTGACGGGATTTTACCTCCGACAGAACGTTCCTCTACGTCCTTACACCAAACCTAATAAAAGTTCCTTCAAATGGCCTCCTAGTTGAGTGAAGCTCCGATTTCATGCTTTCCTGGTCGTATTTAGCCGATCCGGCCCAATTACTAAGGTCATATTGATATAATCATAAACAAACTGATATCCATTTAAAAATAAAGAAAAAAAATTATAATACCAACATTAACTTCAAAAATATTCTTATTCGACAAGCATTAAAATATCATTTAGAAAAAAAAAAAATTTCTGCTTTCTAAAGCAACTTTCAACTATAAACTTTTTTGTACTAAAAAGCTGCTTGATCATTACTTCCACCAATGCCCAATATTAATGATATATTATCTTATCAGTTAACTCTTACAAATATAATAGTGAGAAACTGATTGAAATAAAAATAATTGTCATTTTGACATCTTGGTCGAGACTAATCAATTTTCATGGTTCACATAGATTTTAACAAAAACTTAAAATCAAAGACTAAGGCTTCGTTTGGGACGGCTTTTTTATTGCTTTATAAAACGGAGTTTTAGTACAATTTTTTTAATTTTTGTATTAAAACTCCGTTTTAGAAAGCAGTAAAAAAGCCGTCCCAAACGAAGCCTAAAGTTTGATTTAGAACAGCTTTTTTAACTGTTTTCTAAAGAAATTTAAGATATCATTTGGGACAGCTTTTAACCAATACTTCTTTTCATTACTTTTAAGAAATTTGTGTACTTAAAAAAAATTCTAAAAAGCATTAAAAAGCAGTCCCAAACGAAACTGAAACTTGATGAATAAAGCTATACTCTCAAAGTAAACCTACACAATAACTCTGCATCAACATGTATGAATTATTTTCTCAAAATAGGTCACATAAACATCCATATCAGTCATCACCAATATCTACAAGAAAAATATATCTTTCAAGTTTCTACCAAATTGATTGAGTAACAGATTAAAGAAGACCAAAGTAGAGACAACCATACAATTTGCAAAAGAGCCACCCATTCATGGAGCAAAAAGCTCCAAGATTAGTTCTTCACACTGAAACAACAACTCATTCTGATACCTCTGAAGCACAAATTGTTCTTCAGATGTGATCAGACTTGTAACGAAGCACCGATCGGCGGAGAACGGCAACCTCGCAGTCCTCCCTGACCGGTGGAGATAGTCAACTGCAGTTCTTGGAAGATCAAAGTTATAAATATGTGTTGTTTGAGGTAGGTCAAAGCCTCTGCTTGCCAAATCAGTCGCCACTAGAAGGAAACCTCTCTGCCTTATATCCTATGCAGGGAATGAAATGAATAGAAGTTGATTCCAATGGTTTGCGAGGAACAAGTTTAACAGTTTGGAGGCATATAACAAATGAAAGTTCGAGAATTCATAAAAGTATAACTTGTGGAGACATTTCTAGCAAAATGAAATGGCAATCCAACGATTAGGAGCAAATATGAATTGTTCATTATTTCATTTTGTTTATGATGCGGATTTCAATGTTCATAGTTATGCAAAATTGCAAGATCATAATGTTGTATCAGCCTTTTCAGCCATTAGATTAATTTGAGTCAGTTAAAGGCTCCAACTACCACACGGGACGTCTCAAGCGGAACAAAGGTGTAAAAGCCCGCCTCTCCTGTACGCCGCTTGAACCACAAGGAGCCAACAGAGCAGTTTAGAAAGGTTTTTTGAGGGAGTTAGGAGGAAATTTTGAATATAGGAACTGTTTAGAGATTTCGTTTTGGATTGAATGAATTAAATAGTTTGTTCTCCTAGGATTAGGACATCTTGAATTTGGCTGAAAATTTGAGCTCTTACTTTTTTTTTGGGCTCTTGCCGTGCCTAGAGATTTGGGAGATAGATCCTCCTCTCGAATAGAGGATCAATTGTATTTTGCTATTTTTCTTCCATTAGTTGGATTACTGCATTAAAATCTACTATTTTCTGTTTTTTCATTGATTTTGTGGATAGTTTTTGCTCTTTTTGTCTCTATTGTTAAGATTTGCTCGAGATATTCAAGTATTTCCTAAAATTACCGTACAATTTTTTTTTTTTTTAAAAGAAAGCATGTAATCTATAAAGTTAGGAACATATTTTCTATTACAAGCTGTGGTTCGATTGATATGAAAGAACAAAGCGCAAAGAGAAATATATTTTCACAACTTGTTTAGTAAAGGAAAGCATCAAATATTATTTTCCTACCGTTAAGGATAGTGAATTTGAACAATCACTTACAGATAGTGATGCTGATCGGGCATTGAAATTCATGTCTTCTTCAAATAGAATAATCTCCATATCTCCATCATAAGAAGCCTTAAGAAAATCAAAAAGAAGTGTTGCTGAAGGAGGTCTACCAGCCTTTTTAGACTTCTCTGACTAAAAAAAAAGAAAGAAAACCAGAGAATAACAAAAAAGTGATCAATTCCGTTGGACATAAGTCATATACTCAAATTTGAGAACATTAGCAAAATTTTTCCTCAAAATCAAAAGAACAGCACGAACAAAAAACACAACATATTAAAAATATACCTTATGTGAATTCAGTTATTATCATTATCTTGAAGGGGGATGACAAGATAACGGTGCTAGTTAGCTCATTTTTATTTTTATTTATTTATTATTATTATTTTTTTTAACGGTGCTAGTTAGCTCATGAAGGACACCTTATTGATCTTTTAATAACTTCAGTTTTTGTATTAGTAGATTTCAACGGAAGATCTTATCATTTTTAAACATTATCTCCAGTAAGCTTTGTTTTTTCTTGAGATTGATGAAGCTAAATACATTCATAAATGTCTTTTAAAACTTTCCAATGAAATAATATATACTACTTTTATAAGCATCAAATTTAAACATTCTGTTGATAGATCTCATTCTTCTCAGCTAAAAAATGTTTTCACAGAGATGAAAAGATAGAATCTCAGATTCACGAGGTTGAAGACAATGTCTTTTTGGAAATACATCCTCTGATTTACGTTGAAAAATATAGAAGAGGGACTAATTTTTCTTCTTGCAATGAGAAGACAAAGTGCACTATATATAGAGGATACAAAGCCAAATAGATGGCCAAGAGGTGACTGGCCATGAGAGAGGAAACAAAGGTCAAATAATTTAATACTGCTTCCGGAGTCAGATTACAGATTTATGGAAGTAACAAAACCATTGAAGCACAAAAGGTCAAATAATTTAAATAAAATTTTGTGGTCCAAATTAAAACAGTAAGCTATAGGGTTTTATTTTCCTAAGCAACTTCAATAAAAAATATTTTTTTACTCATGACTTCTTAATGTGAGTCTGTCAATAATATTATTTCATCATTTTTCATTGTCTTCACTGGAAAGCCGCATGCTTGAGCTGAGTTCATTTATGAAGAAGAAATCATTTGAAAATCTTGAAAAAAGTTCGTGCACTGACTAGAAAACTTAATTCTATTGTAACAAAATAAAATCTAAAGATTTAAAAGGAACAAACCTGCTCTGAAACAAAAATTATGCCAGATCTTGGTGCATCCTTCTGAAGGAGGTACAGCATAACACTAAGTCTTTCCTTTTTACTACAAATCTGCAAGAAATAATGGACAAATGATTTTCATCTTTATATTTATGGCACTAATTTTTGATAGTGTTGTTATTTTTATGATCATTACTCATCATTGTCTTCATCATTAGCTTTAACTAACCATTTGAGTTCATTTTTGGGAATCCTGCCTTCTAGTGTGTGCCCATTAACTCTAACTTGCTTAAATTTTTTGTATGTATTTTTTTTATAGTTTTTTATTAAAAACAAGTCTCATGATTTGTGATTATACTGAATAAAAATAGTATTCTGAGAGTAATTTAATGGCTAGTACTACTCTGTGTTCCATTCAAAAAAAATTATAGCTCTGCCCCTAACACTATTTCTCACTAATTTCTCAGAAAAATAACTATATTTGGCATGCTTAAATCACTTGATTCTTCATTCAATAATATTAACTTCAATAAGTGTTAATTGCACTACACAATCATTTTGCACTCTATATTTCCAAATTATTTCATATATTTAACATTTTCTTTTCAGCCACACAACTTGATTACTAAGGACTTCTTTGTTGCCTAACATTTCAATGAGAAGAATTTAAGGGAGATAAACTATACATTAAAGTAAGAAAATCCAACACTGTCATTAAAATTAATATGATCTAACCGCACCAAGAGACTGTCATTCTAATGGAAAGTTAAAAGAAAATAAAGAATTAGGTATTTGTCCAAATAAATACTCCTTCAAAGAAAACAAGTTTGAATGAAGAATTCTTTAGAAAAAAAATGTATAATTAAGGGTCTTACCGCAAAACTATGATGCAAATGGGAAGGCATGGGCTCTATGGGGTTCACGTGGATGTGCACAACATCATTCTATATCAAGGAAGGAAAGGAAAATGTTTAAGTTTCACGGGAATAATGACATAATATTTCTGCTATCTGGCATAGGAATTCTCCATTGAAATATAACTTAAAAAGACAAAAAGTAGATGCTGAAGACAAAAGCTTAGTTTGGGACGGCTTTCTTCTTGCTTTCTAAAACAGCTTTCTAATACAAAAAGTTCTTGAATTTGAAAAATTTTGTACTAGAAAGTCATTTTAAAAAGCAGTATGAAAATCGTCCCAAACGAAGCCAAAAACTACAAAAACACAAACCTTGGTCCACTTATGTTGTACACAGTCATAAAGGAAGCGATTGTGCTGAGGAATAGACGCACTAGCAAAAATTGTTTGGCGCCTTTCTATTGAAGAGTGAGATGTCAATAGCTTTCGAAGGGCATACACTTGCTTCGATGAATTGAACATAAAATCAACCTTCAAAAATAAAGCAGTATTTTAAAAATGGAAAAGCTTAACCATATAGCACATATATATGACTGCTTTTGAATTTCGATCCAAAAATTCAATAGCCAATTATTATGCCAATTGTAAAGCTTGAATGCTTAAACCAAATACCCTCAGAAAAAAATTATAATGCAGAAGTGAGACTGCTTGTGTCAATTACTATTAGGGTCTACAGTTTCTTAATGCATATCTAGAAAGAGAAGCACAACAATAGGCCAAAAAAATCATAAAACAAGTAATTCACGCAAAATGATAATATAAAGATCACCCAAAACAAAAAATACGCAAGAAATTTTAATCAATAAAACACACGTGATAATCAAGGTTCATGCTGCAATAATAAATCCAATTACAATACATCAGACCAAATTTAGAATAACAGTTGTGAGAAAAAAAAAGGTAAAGAAATCATAGTGACACTGATGCGTTCCGCCTCCGATCAGCAGAGGGAGGGCCGGCGACCTATAATATTATGCATATATCCTAAGATATATATTAGAATATAATATATGATATATATATTATAAAATATACTTATTATATGTATTATAATATATATATTATATAATATATTAGAAATAAAGAGAGAAGAAGAATAGGGAAGTTCAGAGAAGGAAGCCCGATCGGGCTAGGGTAAGATCGGAGGCCACGCACAGAGTCGGGATCCCTTAGTCAGCGGCGGAGGCGGTAGGTCGTCGACGGGATTTAGCCGGAGATGCGAGTGCAGGTCGGTGAAAGGCGTTTGGGTTGGCTTTGATCGCGAGAAGAGGGCACGACGGCTTCGGTGGCTGTAGTCGGAAGTTGGCCGGCGAGGCTGGACTTGGCTTGCTCGACGGAGGCTGTAGGGTCTTCGACTGAAGCCGAGATTAAGATCGGGAGAGATCTCGCCTGAAGGAAGTAAGTCCCGAAATCCTTTTCTTCTCTGTATGCGTGAGTCTCTGCGTCTGTTTGTCTGAGAGCGTCTGTCTGAGAGCGTGAGCGTGAATGAGGGAGAGTTTCCTATTTTGAGTTGTGAGGAGCGACGGTTTTGCCGAGAGGAGTGTGATCGTGGGCAGTTATGTGCGGTTTGATCGTGGCTGAGGTGGAGTTAGTCGGGTTCTCCGACAGTTAGAGGTCAACAAGACCTTGTCCTTCTCGAAGTGGACAAATTGTATCTTGTTTCTTTTGAATTTCTAATGCAAAGGTTCTTGTTCTTCCTCTCATCCCTCTTGTGTTTATTTTTCTTGGATTTGGTGGAGAAATCTTTTCTTTGAAGGAGCATTAGGGCAAACCCAAACTTGGGAACCCTAGGGCGTATCAAGTTGGTATCAGAGCTCTCGATCCTAGACGGCATGGCATCAAAGAAGGTAGAAGTTTTGGAGGGGGAGATGAGCCAATTGAAGGAGGAAGTGGGAGAGAAGCTTTCGTCGTTGGAAGGAAAATTCTCATCCCTAGAGGAGAGATTTGGGGGAATGGAAGAGATGATCCGTAAATTGGTAGACGCCCAAGTTGCTCAATCAAATCCTAAGGAAAAGGGGAAATCGCCGATGTCAAACCCTAACCCTAATTTCTCAATTAGGGAAGATGGAGCAAGCCAACC